TTAATAAAACTTAAAATCGATATTAAAAAAAAACCTGAATCAATCTAAACATTCTGTAAACGCAAACAGGCATTCTTTGGATAGGATAAACGAAAACTACTTTCAGAACCCCATCATTTTTTTTTGTTTTGGTTTAAATTAATAAATAACGTTTTTTCGGGTTCCAAAATTAATAAAACTTAAAATCGATATTAAAAAAAAACCTGAATCAATCTAAACATTCTGTAAACGCAAAAAGGTATTCTTTGGATAGGAGAAACGAAAAACACTTTCAGAACCCCATAATTTTTTTTGTTTTGGTTTAAATTAATAAATAACGGTTTTTCGGGTTCCAAAATTAATAAAACTTAAAATCGATATTAAAAAAAACCTGAATCAATCTAAACATTCTGTAAACGCAAAAAGGCATTCTTTGGATAGGAGAAACGAAAACTACTTTTAGAACCCCATCTTTTTTTTTGTTTTGGTTTAAATTAATAAATAACGGTTTTTCGGGTTCCAAAATTAATAAAACTTAAAATCGATATTAAAAAAAAACCTGAATCAATCTAAACATTCTGTAAACGCAAAAAGGCATTCTTTGGATAGGAGAAACGAAAACTACTTTCAGACCCCATCATTTTTTTTTGTTTTGGTTTAAATTAATAAATAACGTTTTTTCGGGTTCCAAAATTAATAAAACTTAAAATCGATATTAAAAAAAAACCTGAATCAATCTAAACATTCTGTAAACGCAAAAAGGTATTCTTTGGATAGGAGAAACGAAAAACACTTTCAGAACCCCATAATTTTTTTTGTTTTGGTTTAAATTAATAAATAACGGTTTTTCGGGTTCCAAAATTAATAAAACTTAAAATCGATATTAAAAAAAACCTGAATCAATCTAAACATTCTGTAAACGCAAAAAGGCATTCTTTGGATAGGAGAAACGAAAACTACTTTTAGAACCCCATCTTTTTTTTTGTTTTGGTTTAAATTAATAAATAACGGTTTTTCGGGTTCCAAAATTAATAAAACTTAAAATCGATATTAAAAAAAAACCTGAATCAATCTAAACATTCTGTAAACGCAAAAAGGCATTCTTTGGATAGGAGAAACGAAAACTACTTTCAGACCCCATCATTTTTTTTTGTTTTGGTTTAAATTAATAAATAACGTTTTTTCGGGTTCCAAAATTAATAAAACTTAAAATCGATATTAAAAAAAAACCTGAATCAATCTAAACATTCTGTAAACGCAAAAAGGTATTCTTTGGATAGGAGAAACGAAAAACACTTTCAGAACCCCATAATTTTTTTTGTTTTGGTTTAAATTAATAAATAACGGTTTTTCGGGTTCCAAAATTAATAAAACTTAAAATCGATATTAAAAAAAACCTGAATCAATCTAAACATTCTGTAAACGCAAAAAGGCATTCTTTGGATAGGAGAAACGAAAACTACTTTTAGAACCCCATCTTTTTTTTTGTTTTGGTTTAAATTAATAAATAACGGTTTTTCGGGTTCCAAAATTAATAAAACTTAAAATCGATATTAAAAAAAAACCTGAATCAATCTAAACATTCTGTAAACGCAAAAAGGCATTCTTTGGATAGGAGAAACGAAAACTACTTTCAGACCCCATCATTTTTTTTTGTTTTGGTTTAAATTAATAAATAACGTTTTTTCGGGTTCCAAAATTAATAAAACTTAAAATCGATATTAAAAAAAAACCTGAATCAATCTAAACATTCTGTAAACGCAAAAAGGTATTCTTTGGATAGGAGAAACGAAAAACACTTTCAGAACCCCATAATTTTTTTTGTTTTGGTTTAAATTAATAAATAACGGTTTTTCGGGTTCCAAAATTAATAAAACTTAAAATCGATATTAAAAAAAACCTGAATCAATCTAAACATTCTGTAAACGCAAAAAGGCATTCTTTGGTTAGGAGAAACGAAAACTACTTTTAGAACCCCATCTTTTTTTTTGTTTTGGTTTAAATTAATAAATAACGGTTTTTCGGGTTCCAAAATTAATAAAACTTAAAATCGATATTAAAAAAAAACCTGAATCAATCTAAACATTCTGTAAACGCAAAAAGGCATTCTTTGGATAGGAGAAACGAAAACTACTTTCAGACCCCATCATTTTATTTTGTTTTGGTTTAAATTAATAAATAACGTTTTTTCGGGTTCCAAAATTAATAAAACTTAAAATCGATATTAAAAAAAAACCTAAATCGATCTAAACATTCTGTAAACGCAAAAAGGCATTCTTTGGATAGGAGAAACGAAAACTACTTTCAGAACCCCATCATTTTTTTTTGTTTTGGTTTAAATTAATAAATAACGTTTTTTCGGGTTCCAAAATTAATAAAACTTAAAATCGATATTAAAAAAAAACCTGAATCAATCTAAACATTCTGTAAACGCAAACAGGCATTCTTTGGATAGGATAAACGAAAACTACTTTCAGAACCCCATCATTTTTTTTTGTTTTGGTTTAAATTAATAAATAACGTTTTTTCGGGTTCCAAAAATAATAAAACTTAAAATCGATATTAAAAAAAAACCTGAATCAATCGAAACATTCTGTAAACGCTAACAGGCATTCTTTGGATAGGAGAAACGAAAACTACTTTCAGAACCCCATAATTTTTTTTGTTTTGGTTTAAATTAATAAATAACGGTTTTTCGGGTTCCAAAATTAATAAAACTTAAAATTGATATTAAAAATAAACCTGAATTAATCTAAACATTCTGTAAACGCAAAAAGGCATTCTTTGGATAGGAGAAACGAAAACTACTTTCAGACCCCATCATTTTTTTTGTTTTGGTTTAAATTAATAAATAACGGTTTTTCAGGTTCCAAAATTAATAAAACTTAAAATCGATATTAAAAAAAACCATCATTTTTTTTGTTGTTGCACTGTGTTATTAACTATATATCAAAAGTAGCCTGGATCTATTCAACCGGGACTTTTGCAAGGCAGATTGTTAATAAGAGTAACTAAGATTTTGCTATTTTAGTTTTGGAAACATTTTTGCTGTTCCTCAGTATAATATATATAATATAATTAAATAATATGAGGTATGATCTTTTACTAAATCATTTTAACTAGAGTTTTTCACAAAAATTTTAATAAATGCGATGGAATTTGCCAATAAAAAAATATTGAAGTTTGCTGTGTTTAATATTAGACCCCTGATATGTTTAAAACAAATTCAAGCGAATGTTGCCGGTTGTATTTTTAGACTGTGTTAACTGGGTTGCATACAACAACCAAGTATTATTGAAAAATGTAGGTTTCAAATAATCATTTGCGCATTTTGAAAGCAAATAGTTTTTTACATTGCAAATACTGTACTGCAAGGTTATCTATCTAAGAATAATTCCTGGTTCTATGAACTTTTTTGCATATTGAGATCATGCAGTAAATTTATAAAAAAGCGACTTCAATGTCGTATTTAAAATTATAAATATCTAGTTTAATGAACTTGTGATTCTAATATATAATGCATTTAACCTTCGTTCAAAATTTTATTGTATTTATTTATTTGCCTAAGCTTGTGCTATCTAAAAAATATAGACACTTGGTCATGAAGGTCTCTCAAATGCAAATACAAATTTGATTTTTAAATTAAACAAATTGTTGTGATTTATAGGCACTAACTATATCCTTGCATATTTCCTGCTCTTAATCGTAAATAGGTATTTTTATAAAAAAAACTGTTAAATGAATTTAATTTCTGAACTATATAATAAATTGTCTTTTATTAACAATGATGACCAATTTTAATTGTGTCGGAAAAAAAAATAAGGAATAAACGCTTCATTGAATTCTAGGCTTTCATCTAACTTTAAGGCCAATAAAATTAGAAAAAGGACAAATAAATTGTTTAATAATGTTAAAAGATAAAATCTTATGCATGTTACATTAATAAATTGCTACATATACGAGAAATATTGTTAGAAGATAGAAGTAAACAAATCGTTTACAACATAGTTTTTCCAATGAATAAATTTGTTACATGGTGTAATGAGGAAATCCTTGAAAATTTTGAAGGATTTCGGGTCATTCTCAAATGCATATTGATTTGACTTGATGTTTGTATACAAGGGGTATCAAAAACGTTTTTAATTTGCATTTTGACGTAGTCTAAAATGTTTAGGTATATGAAATTATTAATGCAGCTTGGAAAAAATATTGTCTTTAGCGTAATATTAGATACAATGATAAACTGAAACTGGTTAGGTATTTATTTATTTATTTATTTATTAGTTTAAAAAGCGTCCTTAACTGTTTTTGTTGTGTCTTTACTTAAATATAAACTGGTTAGATATTTATTTATTTATTAGTTTAAAAAGTGTCCTTAACTGTTTTTGTTGTATCTTTACTTAAATATAATTTATTATAATTCTTTTAGTCTTCGTTTATAAATTTATATCTTATTTATACAAAAACGTTTTTAATTATTGAACTTTAATACAAAAATATTGTTTTTGTCCAGGATATTAAAATATTAAATTATGTTGTATTTTCATGCAGTAATATTTTAATCACTGCAATCACATGTTTAACTTATTTTAAATTATGCACAAATGTTTAAAATATGATAAAATGCAACAGAACCGTACAAAAAATTTTCATTTGACGCCAAATTTGTAGTCAACAATCTTCTAATGTTTGTTGCCAAATTTCGAGATTAGATCTTGTTCCAATTATTTAAATAAAAATATTTTAGAAAAACTTAATTGTTTTATGAAAATTTTATAAACAAATACCTACTTGTTTTCCGTTTTTTAACCCCAAAATGTTCGAGGTTCAAATTGAGGATCAAGAAATAAAAACATTAATAGTAATAAAGAAAAAGCAATTAAAAAAAATTATGTTAAAATAAAGACCCTAGATAATAATAAAAAATGCAACCTAAATCTTTGGATTCCGGCCCTGTCCTATTTTTTTCATATAATCCTATTCTAACATATTTAAGACAATATGACCTCGCTCCTTTCAATGTGCAAGTGCAATTTATATAATAGATATCTAGGATTTCTTCTATGTTAGTTTTTCATGGCCCATGGACAAATTTGGTTGGCTTAGACTTTGACCAGATAAACATTTTAAGATGTCAACATTAACTACTAAGTTTTTTGAAGATTTTTTGAAGAAGTATGAAAAAGATGACACCATTAAAGTGGAAAAGTTTGAGAAAAATTGTGCCTGTGAAAGTGAAATGAATTTTATGTCGGTTGTTAGTAGAATAACGATTTGTGGAACTAAAAATTCAAAAGGTGATTTTTATATTGTTACAAAAATGGCGAATGCCCCGGGATTAGCAAGCTGTTGTCTTCGTCCCAGTTATCACACAATTTTACAGAGCATTTTAAAGATTGAAAGTTTTAGGCTAATTGAATGTATTTTTGGGAAACAAATGTTCTACTAGTTATAACATTAAATGTACTATCTAGTTCCAAAAAAATATTTAAATTAGGTAAAACCTTTCAATATTTAAAATGCTCTGTAAAATTGCAATTTTACATGTAAAATATGAGATACGCACTCATGTGATAATTGGGACGATTCGTCAACCCCCGAAAATTAAAATATTTATTTAACACTTGGAATCTGATAACGATTCTTTACAATAATTATTGTAATAATTTTTGGCAAAACTTTGATGATATAATTATATTTTTAAATGTCAAAATGCTCATCATACTAGATACAGTGTATGCGATTTAAGACCGCAACACCCCATATTTTTTTAGGACATTTTAAAATTTAATTTTTTTAATGCCTGCTGTTTAACTTTATTTTAATTATTATAATATATTATTTCATTATTACCAAATAAATAATATTTACGACATTTATGCTGAACAAATTGATTTATTTTTTCTTGGATAACACTACCTGATATTTATTTAATTCTATTTTAGAACAAGAGTGGTCACTTATAATAAAACAACCCCCAACGGAATGCTTTTTTAACGCCCAGAAGGCATTTGAAAATGAAATTTTTGCCTACCAAAAAATAGTGACAACATTGGAGGAATATGCCTCCAAACCTTTAAGGTTCGCTAAATGTTTATTTGCTTCGAAGGAACTTATAATTCTTGAAGATCTCTCTAAGGATGGTTATAGGAATCTAAAGAAGAAAACTATGTTAACTTTGGAGCAAATAAAAAATGTTTTAAAGGTAATATTAGCACACGAGCCAAATGCGAGCGTTGTAAATTATTTTTTTTTTTAAGGAATTAGCAAATTTGCATGCTGCCTCTATATCACTGATGATCAAAAACCCGGAAAAATTCAAGGCAATTTCGCAAACAGTTCAGGAAATATCGTTCGCAACTCCAAAAACTGACGTTATGGTTACACAGGAATGGAATTTAGACAAAGCAATAGATTTACTTAAATCAAATCCAGAAGCTTCGGCAATACTTTGCGAACTAAAAGAAAAAACTTTCGAGTTGCAAAAACAAAGCCTGATGGGCCCTAGGAAGTTAAACGTGATAACACATGGCGACTGCTGGACAAACAACATTTTGGTGAACAAAAACAACGAAGTTCAACTGATAGATTTGCAATCAATGAGAACGACTTCTATAGCAGCGGATTTAACCTATTTTTTATACACCAACATGGACCCATCTGTGAGGATGAAACACGAGAAAAAACTACTAAACATATATTTTAAAGAGTTAAATCAAAACCTCCGGAAAACGAATGTTAACTATCAAATAGAAAGAAAGTTTTTGGACAGTGAAATGTCTGATTTTAAGCTGTTCGGGTTTATGTTTGGTATGTTTTTATTGCCCGTTTTTTGCGCGAAAAATTTAAAAAGTTACAGTTTGGAGAATACGGAGCCAGAAATTACGAGAAGGATTTTGCTTTTTGCTAAAGAATATGTTCAAAAGGTTAAGAATGAGAGGATAAATTGTGAAAAGATTAGACATGTTGGGCCACAAAGGTTGTAAATAATTTAAGGTTTGCTTTTAAATAATGTTATATGTATATTTGTATCTTAAATGTTTTAAATATCTAGTCAAGAATGTAATAAAAAGTACTAAAATAAAAAGGTTTTACGATACTGCGCACCACTCAATGTGTCGCAAAGAAAAATTTCGTCCTTTTTTAAAAATGACATAACTTTTTTGTTTCTTGAACGATTATATTTTGATCTATGATGTCTGCTAGCCCCATCCTCTGGCAATTCATGCTATAGATATAAAGCTCAAGGTTCTTCAAATAAATTTTCTACAGGGTGATATGTAAAACTGTGAAAAACTTCATCCAAGCCCCGCTTGTAAAAAAAAATATTTTTTTTCGTTGTTACTTTGAAAAAATGAAGTATTTTATCTTGCCTTGAAAATGTTTTCAAATTTTTCGAATTGGAATCTTAGCAACGAAAATATGATATTTTTCCAAAAGGAGGATTTTTGGTAGGCAATACACTCGTATTTTTAAGAAAAAAATGAGAAGATGGTGAAAGATAGTTCCTTAAATAAGTTTGCACAAGCAACAAGCAACAAACTTCCATTATTTTCAGAGGGGCCTAAGGAAAAACCACTTTTTCAAAATGACATTTTGGTAAAAATTTGCGAAAACTAAACCTGAACCGATATTTACGTTCGTGATATGTTTTCTTTATAATTTTGACCTCCTGATTGTGATTCAGTTGTCAAATTTAATTAACAGATAAATCAAAATTCACCAAGAATCAAAATTCGAAAACAATTCCTGGCTGTTAAATGTCTCAATAATATGCCATTGCCAATGCCATTTGGGGATTCATTTTTTGGGCGAAATTACTGCAATTTGTTTGAGTGGTTAGGAAAATGTTACATAACTTACATTTACATTGCGCACTAGTGATAAACTGATAAGTACCTACCTCGTAATAAAGTTAAATACAAATATTTGTGTTCATTTTTGTAAATTTTACGCGAAGATATAATAATTATCAAAACAACAACATTCAACAGAAAAATGTAACAAACAATAATAATAATAACTTTCAATATTTCGTTGGCCCTCCCCTAACCCGTAATAATTTGTTAACCCTCCTGGGCATTACCTCAACCAAGTTCCTTAGAAATTCCTGGGGTATGGCTTCCAATTCTTCCTAAACAGTATTTACCAATTCATCCAAATTTACCATGCGTCCTTCCCTCTCTTTCATCTTTAGTTTCATCCTACTCCACACATGCTCAATAGGATTCATATCCGGAGACAAAGGTGGCCAATCTCTCATTAATCGTGGTCCCTTAAATACTCATTTACGATATTGGTGCGGTACCGACGGGCATTATCGTCCACCAACACCAAATTATTTTAACCTTAAGGAACTACGATATTACTAACACACAAATCTGTATATCTCTTAGCATTCATAAGCAATTTACTCTTTCCATTCATCGCCATTCCTCCCCAAACAGTCACTCCTCCACCTCCAAAAGCCACCCTTGCCTCCCGTTTCGTGCAATGTTCTGCGAACCATTGATTTGGAGATGTGAAGTCCCGTAGCTGCAGCAAAGTCTTGCATTGGCATTTCAATCATTTAAAGGAAGAATGAAAGTAACCTGGGTAAGATGGGTGTAGTTATGTAGGTAGGTAGGTATAACTTATGCAAAAAAACTTCGAAATTTGGAAAAACACAAGCAAACTGAAAAAACAAGAATAATAATGAATGATTTTCAAGAACTAATTTTCATCATTTGATCCTTAATTAAATCATTCAGCGACATGATAATAACGCACTAAAGATGCAAAACACAGTAAAAAACAGTAAAAACCAGCAATCGGATTTTATTTAACAGCCGGGAATTGTTTTCGAATTTTTATTCTTGGTGATTTTGGTTTTATATGAAACTTAAATTAGACAACTGAATACCAATCAGGTCAAAATTATGAAGTAAACAAGTCACGAACGTATATATCGGTTCAGGTTTATAAAACCATAGTTTTCGCAAATTTTCACTAGTAATACCACTAGAGGTCAAATTATTTCCGGAAATTTTTTCGAGCTCATGAATATTTTGAAAATTATCCCGAGTCGAAGACGAGGGATAATTTTCTAAAAATATTCATGAGGGAGAAAAAATTTCCGGATTTAATTTGACCTCGTGTGGTATTCGGTAAGAAAATTCCACACCAAATTGTGTTTAAATAATTAAAATTTATTTTTTGATTTAACTTGACCTCGACTTGATTATTTAGTTACCATGGCAACTAAGTCAACCCCAACCTAAAAGTTATTTCAGTTTTAAAGCTGTCAAGCGGCACGACGTAAAAAAAATGTGAAATTGTCTGCTGTAATGATCAATCATCGTGCAATGACTTATTTACCCGCATTATTAGAGGATTGTGGCTCCTACTTGAAGAAAGAAAATTTGTTTTGAATTGTTCACGAATATTTGCATCTTAACTATTCAAAACTCAAAGTGCTAAATGGAAAAAAAGGTGAATAGAATAGTGCCTAATATTATATATATTTTAAGAAGAAAGGAGGTGTCCAACGAATATAGAAAACATCTAATAAACTTTGTAATGGAAATGTATCAAAATTAAAATAAACAAATAAAAACCAGATTGTCAAAAAAATATTCTGTCATTATAAACGTCAAAAAATTTCCAGTATAATTCGCTGTTGGGTACCCACGAGGAAAAAATTTCCACTAAAATTCAACCGTTGCCATGGTGATCTATCAAAAATACACGTTTTGATTGGTTAAAAATTACAGGTGTGGAATTTTCACCAAAATGTCATTTTGAAAAAGTGGTCTTTAGGTTCCTCTGAAAATAATGGAAGTTTGTTGCTTGTCGCTTGTTCAGAATTATTCAAGGAACAATCTTTCAGCATCTTATCTTCTTGTTCCTAAAAAGGGAAGTGGATTGCCTACAAAAAAGCATCAAATGTACACTTTTGGAAAAAAAATAATAATTTTGTTAAGATTCCAATTCGAAAAATTTTAAAAACCTTTTAAGGTATGACATTATACTTCATTAATTCAAAGTAAAAACAGGAACAAAATATTTTTTTTACAAACGGGGCTTGGATGAAGTTATTGAAATTTTTCACCGTTTTACATATCACCCTGTAGGAGATTTACTTGAAGAACCGTGAGCTTTATATCTATAGCACGAATTACCAGGAGATGAGGCTAGCACCCATCATAGACCAAAATAAAATCGTTCAAGAAACAAAAAAGTTATGTTGTTTTGAAAAAGAACGAACTTTTTGGTCGCGACACATTGAGTGGTGGGCAGTTTAAATGAATATCCCGGTGCATCCACCATTTTTTAAATTATAATAAATTATGAAACCGGTTTACATATATGCGTTCTTGCGTTATTAAATTTACAAAATATCATTTTGAAATTCAATGGACCATAAAGCTTATTATTGCTAAGATTTGTTAACAAGTATCTTTAAATCTCGTGACTTACCCAGTAAGTGAAAGCAACAGTACGAGTTTTCGTACAATCATTTTTTAATGGTGTGATCTAAAAAATGTTAGTGGCAAGTTAAGCGAAAAAGTGATTTTAGCATACTCTGAGAAAATATTCAAAATATGGAAATCGTTAACGCTTTGGTCTAATCATGTTAAACGCGATGATAAACATAAAGAATTATGTTTATGTTTTTAAGCCAAATGCTGAACAATATTAACCAAAAAAGTCTAAAATATTGACCAGGGAACAAATCAACACATTTCTCGCCAAAGCGCAGGATAAAATATCTCATGCAGAAGCTTAATAATTATTATTGTTATATTTTCGCATGCACCAGTGCACTATGGATTCTAGAATGGAATTTTTGGGCCGAAAGTTCCTGATTAATATATTTTGATGTTGGTATAATAAAAATAAATACTTCAGAGATCAACATTCTTTGGTTCAATTTTTATTTGCTTATACCAAACAAAAGTTTTGACAAGTGGTAGTTTACTTACATTGTTGTTCAAAATCTGCATTTGCAGTAATTTAATTTAATTAATATAAACATAAAATCGTTTTAATTTTTTTATTTAATTGTTTAAATATAAATAGGGTTTATTTGTTTTAAAAAATATAAATTCTAAAATTTGCATTTTTACTAACTTAGTCCGCAATTTTCGGGGCATCCTTATAAAAGGCTTACAAAAATTAACTTTCAGAAACTTAAATAAAAGTATATTATGTATATTATGTATCAAGTTTGATAAACGCCATTTTATTCGCGAATTTAATTTAGACACGAGCGAGCTTGCGAGCAAGTGCTCAATTAAATGAGTGTCTAGCAAAATTTAAACACGACAAATCCTTATTATTATTAAAAAATTATTTAAATATTTGTATAAAGCGACATCTAAACAAAAATAGAGTAACCGTAAGAATGGGAATCTGTATTACCGGCGGCAAATGTCAACTTTTTCTGTGTAAATCGTAATTTATCCCTTGAAAATGAAACCGTTTTATTTCCGATATAGAAGCAGTTTTTTACAGTAAAAGTAAAGAGAATTTTTTATGGACACACGATAATGCTTTATCTAGTTTACTGCCGGCCATACTCCTATATAAGACTGCTGGCAAAATCAAAAGGTCAGTACAAACGTACATATAAACTTAAATATTGGCGTTTAGAAACTATTTAAAACTTTTGTATTTGTATATTAATATAATACAATATTTGATTTTGATGATAGTTTGCCACCTGGGGACAGACATGGGCTACATGGCGGTGGTTCGTTTATTTGGTATAATGTTGACCCCTTATTATTATTATATCATTATAAAATAATAATAATAATAATAATAATAATATTATTTATTTATTTCAAGAGATCTCTTACAGATATAGGATTAAAAATCATTTAACACAATGAAACAATGAAACAGCTCAAATTAACCGACACAATCCAAAAAATTAAACGCTAATAACTCATTTACTCAAAAGTAAAGTTTTTAATTTGCAGAAAAACTTGTTGTTTTCAAAGTTTTTAATACAGTTTGATTTTATAAAAAAAATACCAAAACAACACCAGTGCTAAAAATAAATTACTTTTAACACCTTAAAATGACGTTTTAGACACCGTTTAATAGGTACTTACCTAACTTGTGCGGAAAGTAGCAACTTTCCTGTAGAAAAACCTAAATATATAACTTCGTGGTCCTAC